CATGGATACCGTTCTCTCTGGCCTTAAATGGAGAACCTGCCTAGTATACCTTGACGACGTCATTGTGTTTTCTACAACGTTTGACGAACACCTTGAACGATTGCAAATGGTCTTGCAGGCCATACGGGCCGCAGGCCTGACGCTCAAGCCGGAAAAATGTCACTTCTGCTTTGAGGAACTGCAGTTTCTCGGCCATGTCGTCAGTTATGCAGGAGTTCGTCCAGACCCCGAAAAAGTTGCCGCCGTCGCACAGTTTCCAACACCATCAGATAAAAAGGCAGTGAGGCGTTTTCTGGGTCTCTGTGCATATTATCGGCGATTTATTCCAGATTTTGCACGCATTGCGTCACCTTTAACTCGTATCACGAGGGATGACGTTGCATTTGTTTGGGGCGACGAACAGAAAGATGCTTTCAATGACTTGCGGCAACGTCTACAGACGACCCCCGTACTTGCCCATTTTGATGACACAGCCCCTACAGTGCTCCATACTGACGCCAGCAATGTTGGCCTCGCAGCTGTGCTTGTACAGCACCAGGATGACGAGGAAAGAGCGATTGCTTACGCAAGCAGAACTCTGTCACGCACAGAAGCAAATTACTCGACCACTGAAAAGGAATGCCTGGCCGTGGTGTGGGCAGCTATGAAATTTCGCCCATACCTGTACGGCCGCCCATTCAAGGTTATCAGTGACCACCATTCGTTGTGTTGGTTAACAAGTCTGAAAGATCCTTCCGGCCGATTGGCACGCTGGAGCTTTAGACTACAGGAGTTTGATATAACGATGGTGTATAAGTCGGGAAAACGACACGCGGACGCCGACTGCCTATCTCGATCACCAATAAAGTCGGTTGCTGCTTTTGATGAAGAAACAGCATTCCTCGGAATCCTCGACACGTCAACCATCGCAGATCACCAGCATGACGATCCTGAGCTACTTGGCTTGATTAATTATTTAGAAGGACGAAGCCAGAATGCACCCAAAGCCTTTACAAGAGGACTATCGTCGTTTTGTCTGCGAAACAATGTCGTTTACAAAATAAACTTCTCGTCAGACGGGTCCACCTACCTGCTTGTCGTCCCTACCACTCTTTGATCTGAGGTGTTGCAAGCGTGCCACAACGAGGTAACATCTGGACATTTAGGCTACACGCGCACACTGAGCAGAGTTCGAGGGAGATATTACTGGCCTAGACTCACCGCTACCGTGAAGCATCATGTTCGGACCTGCCTCGATTGCCAGCGGCGCAAGTCACCTCCAACGAAACGAGCCGGTTTGCTACACCCTGTCCAGATCCCGACAACGCCGTTTGAGCAGATCGGAATGGACCTTTTGGGCCCACTTCCACCTCTAGTGTTGGTAACCGTTGGGTTATAGTGGCGACCGACTACCTTACTCGCTACGCCGAGACAAAAGCCATCCAGAGAGGCACAGCAGAGGAGGTAGCCCGGTTCTTCATAGAGAACATTGTGCTGAGACACGGTGTGCCATCGATCGTTATAACAGATCGCGGAACCGCATTCACGGCCGCGCTTTTAGATCATGTGTTGGTGCTCAGCGGTACTATTTATCGCAAGTCGACAGCTTACCATCCACAAACCAACGGGTTGACCGAGCGACTTAACAAAACTCTAGAAGACATGCTTTCAATGTATGTGGAATTTGAACACAAAAACTGGGACGAGATTCTCTCTTACATAACGTTCGCATACAATACTGCGAAACAAGAAACCACACGGATGACCCCATTCAGCCTTGTTTACGGACGAGAAGTAAGAACGATGTTAGACGCGATGCTGCCACACGAATGCGATGACAACAAAACGAGTGCTGACGCGTTTACTCAACGCGCAGAGGAAGCCAGGCAGCTCGCACGTCTGCGAATATACAAACAGCAAGAGTACGACGCAGGCCGCTATAACCAACGTCATACACCTGTACGTACAAAACCGGGGACAGGGTATGGGTGTGGACACCTGTACGAAGACGGGGACTATCCGAAAAATTGCTCAGAAGGTACTTCGGACCTTACCGAGTGCTGCGACGACTAAGTGACGTTACCTATGAAGTCGTCCCGGATAGCCCAAACTGTTCAAGGCGTCGCCAGCACCGACCTGAGCTTGTGCACGTAGTGCGCATTAAGCCATACGTCAGCGAGTGACTCTGCGAGGCACCGTTGCTTCTACAAAGTGACTTCTTGCGCAAATTACTGTCTCAGCTATAGCATCGGCGCGATGCTCTTTTAAGGGGAGGCAAATGCCGCGCCCAAAACAAAGAACGAAGACGATGTGCGCGCCAACAGCCTCGTGAAAAGGAGGACTGAAGAAGACGACGTACTTTCGTTTTTGCCTCGCCTGCTCTTGGCTCCTGCATAAAAACACACGCCGTCTGTTCTCGGACTCAACGTCTCGGTGCACTGCTTACGTTGAACTGCGACAGTATCATACCTTCGTCATCCATTCACATCCCGCAATACCAAATTTGGTATGACTGAAGCTAGCGAAACGGCCGCCAGCGCATAATGAGCATGGCATGTAGCCATGTTGTTACACGACACGCATCTAATGATTATCATGTTTGAACCGGTCATATATATTCGCCATCCATTCACGTACTGTAATACCAAATTTGGTATATGTGACGCTAGCGAAACGGCCGCGAGCGCATAATGAGCATGACATGTAGTCATGTTGTTACATGCCACGCATGCCTTGATTTTCATGTTAGGGTCTGTCACTTGTTTTCGCCATGCAAACATGTCATACCATACCACTTTTCCAACATGTCATGTGAACAAAACCACTGCAAGAGCTGCATGACCATGAAATGTAAATCATGACATTCATGCGGTGCTTTTCATGTTATGACTAGTCAAATATGTTCTTCATACAGTCATGTAATGCCATATGAAGTTTATTATCGATACTATTATTGAAACAAGCTGGAGAGCTGAAAGCAGTAGGCGACTTGACAGACAGACAGACAGACAGACAGACAGACAGACAGACAGACAGACAGACAGACAGACAGACAGACAGGCAGGCAGGCAGGCAGGCAGGCAGGCAGATAGATAGATAGATAGATAGATAGATAGATAGATAGATAGATAGATAGATAGATAGATAGATAGATAGATAGATAGATAATAGATAGATAGATAGATAGATAGATAGATAGATAGATAGATAGATAGATAGATAGATAGATAGATAGATAGATAGATAGATAGATAGATAGATAGATAGATAGATAGATAGATAGATAGATAGATAGATAGATAGATAGATAGATAGATAGATAGATAGATAGATAGATAGATAGATAGATAGATAGATAGATAGATAGATAGATAGATAGATAGATAGATAGATAGATAGATAGATAGATACGCCCAATGTCGCCGAAGTTCACTGAGAAGTGTTTCGCATTTAAAAACAAACAGCGTTCTCAGCTTGGCGTTGGCGTTCCACAGCGGCGTCTCGAGCAGACATTTCCAGATGTTCTTGAAAGGCGCCCAGCTAGTGAATGGTCGGGAGTGAGGTGCACGCAGACGGGACACTGGTGGAGAGTGGGGCAGGTAGGAAAGACAGCGGACGACAAGAGAAGGAGCGACGAAGCACCGCACCACCATGCGCTGCGCCAACGTCACCTACAAAAATATCAGAATCGGAAAGATTGTTATTTTTTTAAACAAAATTGATAGGGGTTCTTCTGGCGAATAGCTGCATCATACAGGGCAAATGTGCCTGAAGACCCTCACATGGCAGCAGTCACATCAAAACTAGAATACATGCACGTTTTCAGTATGTATCCAGATGAAAAACAATTTATTGGAACTGAAAAAAACGGAATAGAGGGAATGACACTTACCTAATGATAAAAGAGAAAATCTAATGATTTTAGTGAGAGGAAAAATGTCAAAACGCATTGCTATACATAAAAAAGAGTGGTAGAAACAACACTAAACAATACTTAGTATAAGCATGGATGTGATGTACAACAGTATATTACACTGTTTATTGAAACACTGAGAGCGAACAACAATTAAACGCAAAAATACAAGAACTGCTTTTCCTTTATGCCTTCATTTGATTTTGCAAAAGTATTCGCGAATTTATTCACGCGGTAAAGTATCTGAAATAAGACTCCAATTTATTTAGTAACGAGGGTAGGCTATGTGGCCTTAGCACCGCTTTGCGAAAGTTTTTCGGTTACGTCAACTGAGCCACTGAACGGTCTCTTTTTCTGTTATGGCCCCGGTTTTGAAACTTTCACAAGGACCGAGCGACAGTTCTGCAAACACCATCTTACAGTGAACAGAAGTGCAGGAAGGTTGGCCTGAGGGATAGCATGCTCTAGCCTGCTACACTGCGCTGGGGGAGGGTAAAGAAGGAAAAGTGGTGAATGGCGATGGTAAGTTAGGGAGTCGAGTACGTGCACTCACGTCAAGTTAACAAAACGCTAAGGCCAACTGCCAGTCCAGTCGTTTGTTTTTCGAAGTTCAAGCACAAAGAAAATGGAGACAGGATAATGCACCGAGTATCAGCTGCTCTTGTAGAGATCTCATGGATATGAATATCACAAGCACTTTCACTATTCGTGAATTGCGATGGTGTTTGCGACAAGGGTCACGAAAAGATATATGAAAGAGAAAATCTAATGATTCATTTTTTATTTACTTATACTTGAAACATTAGTAAAAGTGCTGCATATATAATGCGGCCTGGTACAGTTAAGAAAGACAGGTAAGTTCGATCATTGTTGATAAAGTATCGACTGCTTTGCTGCCACTCCCCGCACAATGTTTAGACAATCGTGTCTCATTTTGGGCTCGTGTAATTGATGTTTTTCGCTTGAAAGTATTCGATCTTTTGAGACACGAAACCTTCACTTGCCGAAAGAAGATAAGCAGAAAATGTAGAAATTTATAAGATTATGACGTATTTATATTAGCCGGCGCGGGTGGCTTTTTGGAGCTCCACGCGAAGGGCCAGTCCGGCTACCAGACAATGCACTTCTGGTCCGGGTTCATGATGGTGCCAACCTTGCAGCTGAAGATGGCCGAGAACCGCCCGAAATTCATCAGCTGGATGATGGTCCTGCGATGCACAAGGGTGCGACTTGTGAACATCAAAGCGTAGAGTGGAAGGTATTCCAATGTGAACAATAGCTGAAACTTCATACGCATAAAGCCCTTTCACGGTCTGCGTTTTAATGATTTCCTTCAACCCTTTTTACTCAACCTATTTACCACTTATCGTTACGCACCATGTTGTTGACACGTCCTCAATGTCTTAGGCTCAGCTTGAAAAAAAAATATCGGCCCAGTTAATCGGAACAGATGGATTCACGTTTAGGAAGCAAAGATTAAAAAGAAACTTTCCGCGACTTGATTCTTTCATTCACATGATTCCAATGGCGCTAGCCACTAGCGTTTGCAAAACGTTTGGATCACTTGCGTTAACCTTAGAGCAAAACGAAACAATCCTGTACACGGTATTTTAGAGGTACAAAGTTCATACCACAACAAAACTTTCAATGAACTCTAATGAAAGCGCAGTTCAGTTGGGCAGTGCAATTCACCGAACAGGTAGTTCGCTGTCGGTGAATTTCACTATGCTTCTTCAAGGGGACAGTGTTACTAGATGCGAGAGCGAAACCAGACAGCTGAGGTGCATAATTTATCTATAAATATTAAAAGCCTTCGAAATTTGCGTTTCGGTGGCCAGAAAGATTGGTGAGTAAGGGTTACTTTTATTCATTCAGGAGGTATTGCGTCGCACAATGTGTAGAACAGAATGCCACTACGGAAAGGCAACATGTGCAACATGCATGTTGCCATGAATGGACAATTTACGCTACGACAGTGGTAATCACGTCTGACACTCTCGCGATTTCCGAGCGCATAGACGCCTGAAGGAGAAGTAACAAAAACCTTACGCGCAAAAGGAAGCCTTTGCTGATATCAATATTTGTCCATGTAGTGGAGAATGGCATATAAAGCATTTGCAGGATGACCACGATTCATTTATTTAGAAAAACAAGACTCAGTATACTGCTACGCTTACGCCAGAAAGCACAATTGTTTTTTTAACATTGGAAGTGAAGTACGATTCTTACTGTATTTCTAAATCGATGGCTACTCACCAGAAGCGGTTCGGTATTTGGTCACGCGGGCGAACATAGAAGTACATGGAGCGCTTCCGGGAGACCTCACACCGCGACTGGAATAAGAAGCGAAAGAAAGAAAAGTGAAGTGGTTAGTAATGCAAAGATTCTCATTTTTTTCGCATTGTAACAGCGAAAAATTCAGTAAAGGGGTAAAGAATCCGTAGTTGGTTGGTCCTGACGCCATAGTGTGGAGGTCACCTTGGGAAAAGTTACGAGTAGAAGTAGAAAATAACAACAGTGCTAATGCTTTCCGCCTTAGTCACCTCTTCTACAAGAAGAACATCAGGGTCTTGTGCGTACACTAACATTGTCTTTTACTAGAATGCTACTGTTGAGCTAGTTGATTCATGTTGAAGAAAGGTTAAAGGGGATCTCTAACGCTCTAAAACCTTGGTGCCGACTGCATAACTCGTAGTGGCGCTCGCCTGAACTACTGCGAGCGGAAATGATGCCAGAAGGTTGCCACCTTATGATTGGATACCGTAAAGTTCAATATATGTGATCGCGACATTGCAGCAGTATGGGGATTACTATTGGATTTATTTTTCATTCACATGACTGTCCACTCAAAGCAACAGAGATTAAAGCTCTCCGAGTTTTCCAGCTTGAAAACTATATAGCTGGTCAAATAATGCGCCGAACCCCATGTGTTAGAGGAAACGCGTCGGCGACGCTCCGGGCACCAGTATTTGAAGAAACTAAAAGAAAAAAATGGCAGCATATCTACAAAGTGAATTATACAGAGTGGGGTGAAGAATCGGTCTGTCCATTCATTCTTGATTCCGTCCGTCCATGCGTTTGCCTGTGTGACCGTCCATGTGTCCATCCGCCCGTCCGTGCGTGCATCTGTTCGTGCGTCCGCACGTTTATCTGTGCGTCCGTCCCTGCGTTCGTCCATGCATCCACCACTGTGTCCGTCCATGCATCTGTCTGTGTGTCTGTTCGTCCATCTAGTCAACACTGCAAGTACCACCATCTCGCATCTTTTCATCACATTCCGCATATAGAAGCACCGTCATCCAGCGGACATTCCAAGAACTAAACGAGAGGTGGCACACGCACACTTTCTTACGGCTTGTGCTTCGTGTCTACTTCCCACCTTTAGCCACCTCGAGTTCATGGTATATACTAGTACACTATATTCATGGCACTGCAGCTCAACGCTCGCTAAACCTTTCTAAACTCAAGGAGGTTACGCCCAGCGAGTATAACCAAGCAACCCTTTCTTGTCAAATAGTGCTTAATGCTGATGCCAATGGCTGCTAATAGGGAATGAGAGACAGGATAATTCGGCTTTTAGTTAACACGCACACAGCAATTTTTTTTATTGTTCAACAACGCACAGGAGAAATCTCCCACCAGCACCAGCTTGCATGTCAAAACGTAAGACTGGTTACACACTACGGCTACGACTACTACGAGGGACGAATGAGTGCTGCTTTAGGCGCTTCGACCCTAAAATTGTAAGAGCATTGATATATATACGTCATTGCAAAAAGAAAAATCAATAAGGCTACAAAACATTATAGAAGCGTTCGCTAGCTGGCTAGTCTCGCACGTGTCGTTCCCTTTTCAAGTACCACATTGTTTGTTACTATCGCAAAGGCGTCGCTAATACGCTGGCACGTAACAGACAATATGTCATGCAAGCTTCCTGTGCGGAGGGCATTCAGTTTTTTTCATTTGGCAGCCTTCCGACGTCAGAGTGCGAGGAAAACACGGTAAGGTGAGCTCGCAAAAATTGAGTTGAGGTTGAGCATCCATTTCATTGTATTTTGATATGTATACGCTGAATAACTTTTATCACTTATATTTATTAGCATACAAAAACAACAACTTAATCATCTGGGAAAATTGTGCACTTTATGGTTTTATTTTTATGAACAATTAAATGCACGTGAACAGGCTCCTAAACTGTAATAAAGCACTACCTCATAGACAGAAGCAGAAGAAAGAACTCATGAACCATGATGTGCAACTGTGCAGAGCGCGGAACAAAGTTAAACGGCCCCTAAACCACACCGAGTGTCTGCCACGGTGGTGTAGAGGTTAGGGTGTTTGGCTGCTGACACGAAGGATGAATTTAATTGAGTTCATTGGGCAACAAGGTTGTGAGGAAACCAGGTGAAAAAGCTGCATTAAGCATCTTGAGAGGAGCGTGGCCACCTAACACACTCAGCGGTTACAGCAGTTAAAAGCATTCATATACTTAATGCATAAACAGAGCAGCAAAAACCGTAAACAAACACAGTAAAAATTAATGAACAAAAGTATTGTGTCAGCATTTAACAAATCAAGAGAAAAATGGTTGCGGGTTCGATCCCAGCCACGACGGTCGTATTTTGATTGAGGCGAAACGGTAGACGTCCGTGTGCATGTAAACAAATGCGATATAGTAGATATATCTGAAGCCCCCTACTACGCCATCTCATATATTCGTGGTTTCCAGACGTTGACCCCTAGATGATTTTAATATTACCTCACCTCGACTTCAAAGATGGAAGAGTACTTTCTTTCTCGCCTACGCTACCCTTCCAGCAAGTGCTAGCTATCCCCTCCTCGCCCTTCATTTCTTCAGGAAATACGTGGGATGTCAGCACTAAGCGTTGATCCGGCTCAGGATTTCGCGTTTTTCAGCTGCACGCTGCTATCTCCGCCTGCAGGGAAAGTGAAAGGGTTTGACAATATGACCACAATCTGCAAAACTGGATTGTAATTCATCTTTATGGTCCGCACGCAAGGATTCTATTAAACTTAAGGTGGTGGAGAAAATATAATATAGGTCAAAAGTGTGACATCGGATTTCAGACAGGAACCGAAAATGAAATGCGAGAGGGGGGCCCGACATCGTGCCGGAAGCCGCACAATAATGCGGTACGGGCCACAGCTCGCCGACACCTAGCTGCATTAGTGCCATCGAAAGTTACATAAGCGGCGGGGATTTCATTTTTCACCCACTTATAACAGCCCCAGAGGAAGCTTCCTCTCGCCACTCATCATGAGCTACGGGTTGGAAATGTCGACAATGCTCACCAGGCCGTACGCGATGAAGAACACCTGCTCCATGGTCCAGGCCTCCATGCCGGGAATGGAGTACATGCCGTAGCGCTCCTCGTACTTGGTTATGTACACCCGAAGGGCCTGCGTGGGCGAGAAGGATTCAGGAAAGTTTAACGAATGCTCATCATTGACTCCTCCTGGGGGACACAAACCTTGAAGGCGAGTCACAGGTTCGCGTTGTCGGGGATACTCGTCTCCAGGGTGTTGTTGACGCTCAGCTGCGGAAAGGACGGAGATTAAGATTATTACATACACAACCAATTAGCCACATTAATTTGCATAAGTTTTTTTTTTCATCAAGCAATTTTTATTGGAATATGTTACCTGAAGAGACGGTCAACTCAAAGTCATTAGAGGTGTTTTCTCAGCGTATTTGTAATATAAGCTTTGGTTAAAGTGTCGTTTCAAAATTGGAAGACATTATCATTGTGTTCTTTTACCGTATGCATACCATATCATATGCTTAAATGTGATTGTGTAAGCATATTTATGCCTCCCTTTATGTGTGTTGTACGATTTAAAATTACGTCAACCAACACTGATGTATTGTCAAGTTGTATGTTGAATTTCTGTCAATGTATTTCTTTGTTTTCACTCCAGCATTGGCCTGCGAAGGGCCTGCAGTACCTGTAAATAACAAAAGAAACAAGCACGTGCAAACAGACATACCACACCACAAATAGCACAGTACAAATAGAAACTGAGCCGAGCAAAACATGACAACAAAGCGAGTATTGTTCCAGCTGAATCTGGAGTCGCATGAAGAGAGAATATGAATTCCTCGCCTCTCGGCAAAACAGCGTGACATAATCATCGAAGATGATGCACCCAGCGTCCGCTATTGCTTACCTTCATTCCAGTGATGGGGCTGTTGAAGTGGTAATACTGCTCGGAGACACAGCGGGCGCTAATGATGAACTTGCGGTGGGTCTCGCGAGACCACCACTCCACCAGCTTGCCGTGCTCGTCGTACAGAGCGCCTGCGGGTCGTACACGCAATTACGCCCGTTTCACAAAGTACACTCCGAAATCTCTAACGTCACACACAATGATTAGAGCTGGAATTACAGCAGTTGACTACTCCAATAGTATTTCGTGCTTTTTCTCATTCGATAGTCAATATCCTAGCCTGAAGCTAAAGAAAATGCGCTTGTAAAAAAGCACTTCATGAGGCTGGATTGGCAGCCTTTATTTTTGTCCATTCTCTGGTCTGTTAATAAATGCGCAGCATTTCTCGGCGGATTTTGGTGACTTTGGCCGTATCTATCTATCTATCTATTCATCTATCTATCTATCTATCTATCTATCTATCTATCTATCTGTCTGTCTGTCTATCTATCTATCTATCTATCTATCCACTTACAACTTTTAGCTCTTCTGGCCGTTTTTACAAGGGTATCTATACCAAACTTGGTACGGCACAACATGACTATATGTCTGGGATAAGTGAATAATTATCTTTGAAATGTCATGATTTACGTTTCATGGTTTTGCTAGTCTTAAGCTGGCTTCGTTCACATGGCATATTGTAAAACTGGTATGGTATGAGATGACTGAATGACGAAGAAAGGTCACAGACCCTAAAGTGGTAATTATGACATGCATGTCCCGTGAGAATAATGACTACAGGCCACACTCATGATGCGCCCGTGGCCCTTTTGCTAGCTTCATATATATCAAATTTGGTATTACGTGATGCGAATGAATGAAGAAGGTAAATGGCGCGTCGATATAGATTAATCGTGATATGCATGTCATGTGAAACATGACATGCTATGCTCATAGTGTGCTCGCGGCCATTTCGCTAGCTCCAAATATACCAAATTTGGTATCACTTGACGTAAATGGACGACGAACACAAATGCCAGGCGCAAATACGATAATCATGACATATAAGTCATGTACAGCATAATTAATGTCTGCCTCGTAACGTTGTGCTGATTTTAAAGTGAGATATGTTAACCATCCTCATTCGTGCTTTGCGTATCATCGACTCCCACTGTACGTGGGATCTGCCATTTCTTTTTGTAGCCGATTCGTGGTCTCACCTTGCTCTTCGAAGCCGTACGTCAGCTGCTGCCCCATGATAGTTCCGAGGGCACCGAAATTGATGGGTCTGTACAGGGCAAGGATAGTAAAACACCATTAAATTGGTACGAGTATGTGTATTGTAGCAACAAACGCTCAAAAAGAAGCAAATGGAGAAAAATTTTACAGGTTCCAGGGTAATTTTTGGCCGCATCTGCAAACCGCCATTGCAATAGCTCAAGCAGTGTCGTTTATGCTGTCACTCTACTCACGAGCGTTGCTCGTCAACTCCACCCAAAGCTGATAGATACAGTGAGCTTAACGCCGAACTAAATACGCTCAGCCGAGAGATGTCGCATTCTTGCATACTCATATTTCTTACGTATTGGTTATACTTCGTAATTATTTTCGATACCTAAGCATGAAAGGTCCTAGCTGATTCAACTTAATGTGTTAAGCATCGCATGGTGCTAGCCACTGATAAAAGATGCAGAAAGAAGATGCTTCACACGTTTAGATGAACTCTCACCAATCCACCCAACTTTAAACTTTACGGAAATCATTGCAGGCTTTCGCTAGCGTAGTGAGAAAGACGATGAAGATAACAAAATGGAGACATACAGTGGAGCCCGGAACTATCAAACTTGGTCATATTTAATATCGTTTATGTCGAACTATTTCTGATCACTAAAATATTTTGAAGACAAATGCAGTCCATAGAAAATATACGCCTACATCGAAAAAGAAAACAGGACACCTGGTATATCGAACATCAAGTACAGGGAAACGCACCGACATGTTGGCTTTCACTCGCGATTTTCGTCTGTTCATCGCGCACCTGTTATCACGACATGCCATAAGAATCAAAGCACAAAGTTGCTGCCCGTGTGGCAATCCCTCGCCCTCCTCATGTTTTTTCATGCTCGCTCAAGAAAGGCAGGGCACTTCCTCTCTGCTTCAACAGCAGGCTTCTGGAGCTGAGTCATGTTCCGCATTCTCCTGCCAAGTGACGAAGATGGGTGCTGTGTTGGGGGATGGCTGGTCCCTACGAAGCAGAAGAAGAACACGGCCGACGGAGACGTACGCGGCCGGCGGGGACGCCGACCAGCCCGAACACGCGGGTTGGCGCGAAACGCCGAATAAAAGAACAACAACCGCACTCCACGGTTACCCAACACACACTGATTTCATTAACAGTCGCCTTGAAATCCTGGATGCAAGAGCGGTGCCCCCTGGCATCCTCACATGTCATTCCGAAACCAAAACCTAGAACACAACATCATCCCCTCCTCGAAAGAAGTACACCTATACACTGTTTATATTTATACATGATCGATGTTTGTTAGAACACATGAAAATTCAGAGCACGGCACACCGAACTCACACACTACGAGTCCTGAAAATGCACTGACAAACAAAAAAATGTACACAACTGTTCAGAACAAGAGTTCTACATCACGTAGTCTTCGAACCGACGCGGCTTCTGCCACTTCCGCTTAGGGCGGGCCCTTTTGGGTGTAGAATCAGGTGTCTCTGCACCTTAGTCATTTGTGCTCCGATGTGACACATCAAGAGCAGTAGAAGATTGTGAAGGCTCTGAACGAGCGTTAAAATTCGCGGTCTCATCAGAGCTTGCAGCATGAGCTTCGGAAGAATTTCGCGGACCGGAGTCCGGTTCAACGGTCTCAGCCGAATTTGAAGGTTCGAAGTGGACCGTAAGACTTGGTGTACTTGAACCAGCGACACCGACTGGTAACTCCTCCCCCCTTGAAAAAGAAATGCCTGTGCATGGAGGCCACATGTAACAGTCTTATGCATAGTTGAAAGGCGTGGACGCAACGTGATGGGGAAGACTTTTAGGTGTTGAAGGCGAATCCATATGAAAACTAACAAGGCGCGAAGCATTCCAGATGTTGCCATTAGTTAAGCGAAAAGAAGTGGGGCTAACCTGGCCCAAGACTGTAAGGACCCCGATACTTGGAGCGCTTGCCTGGTACACGAAGCTTGACTAGATCGCCAGTGCGAACTTTGGACTGCTTTGCACCTCGACGGGTGTCGGCATACTTTTTCATTGCTTGTTGATGAGAAAAAACCCTGGTACGGATTTGATCAGGAGAAGACACTGCTATGTTACGAGGCAAAGAGACTATGTCGAGAGCAACTCGCGGTTGCCTACCGTGGAGAAGTTTAGCAGGAGACACTTCAATGGTGCCTTGTGGTGTGAACCTGTACGAAGCTAAACATTCAGTCAAGACTTGCTTGAGGGGACGGTGCTCTAATTGGGCGATCTGGATATGTTTCTTCAGAACGCGATTAAAGCGCTCGATTTGCCCATTTGATTGAGGATAGAAAACTGATGACCTCAAGTGCTGAATTCCTCGTTGTGAAAGAAGGGCCTCGAAATATTGGGACTGAAACTGTGGACCATTGTCTGTAACTATGACATCAGGAAAACCTTCCCGGCTGAAGATTAAAGACAGAAACTCAATGATGAGCTCAAAAGTAACCGTATGTGTGAAACAAAGCTCTGGCCATTTGGAATGGTAGTCGATGAGAGAAACAATGAACCGGGCATTTTGCGGGACATTATGCAAACGACCGATGATGTCCATGCCAAGTTTATGCCAAGGCCGATCAGGCCACTGGACTGGCTACAACGAAGAAAATGCAGGTTTCGAAGACTTGTCAGCTGCCTGACATATATGGCAGTTGTAAACTGCATGCTCGACCTTTTTGTCTAAGGCTGGCCACCAGTACCTGTCTCGGAGATTTTGTTTGGTGCGGACAATGCCTGGATTGGCCTCATGGACAAGCTGTATTAGCTTGTTACGGAAAGAAGCAGGGGGAATCACGCGTTCATCGCGGAAAAGCAAGTCCTCGACACAAGACAATTCCTGTCGGACTGCGAAGTAAGGCGAGAATTCAGAAGCAAGAGCACATTTGGAAGGCCATCCTTCACGTAAATATTTGAGAACTTGAGACAAAGTGGAATCTGCCACTGTAGCTGCCTGAAGCTCAGCTTTAGTAATGCAGGAAGTAACTAATGAAACAACTTCCTTACACCGCTCTTCAGTAACCGGTATCTGAAGAGGAAGGCGAGACAGTGCATCAGCAACCGCATTATTAGAACCCTTACAATATTGAACACTGAAATTATAATACATGAGTTTGGCACACCAACGGGAAATGCGAATGGGGCGACGGCCTTCGGATCCTGCAGAAAGAAGAGCAACTAGTGCTTGGTGATCTGTACGTAATGTGAAGTGCCGGCCCCACAAGTAAACATGCCATTTCTCACAGGCAAAAAGACACGCGAGAGATTCACGCTCTCCTACTGAATATCTGCGTTCAGCAGGGGTCAATGTACGAGATGCAAAAGCGATAGTGATCAGCTGATCACCTCTGAGTTGTTGAAACACTGCTCCCAGTCCAACATCTGACGCATCCGTCGTGATGACGATGGGAAGCTTCTCATTGAAAATACTAACAGCTGGCTTTGAGGCCGGTATTGACTTAACTCGAATGAAGCTCTGCTCAGCTTTAGCTGACTAGTTAAAAGGCTATGCTTGATGAAGTAGAGTACGCAGTGGTTCAACAACATCAGCAGAGTGAGGAACAAACTTGGCATAATAATCAACAAGACCTAAAAAAGATTGCAAGGCTTTGGCGTCAGTAGGCCGTGGGGCATTGACAATGGCCTGAACTTTAGACTCAACAGGTGTCAAGACGCGGGAACTGACATTATGTCCTAGAAATTGTAACTCATTCACAGAAAAAATGCACTTGTTATTAAGTATCATACCACATTCACTGATGCGGTTGAGAACAGTATGCAAGTTCGCATTGTGCTCTTCGCGAGTACGTCCCCACACCAAAATGTCATCCAAGTAACAAAGGGCGCCATTACAACCCTTAAGAATAATTGACATCATTTTCTTAAACACTGCAGGGGCAGATGCAAGCCCGAAACACACGCGGCGAAACCTAAACAAGCCTTCGTGCGATACAAATGTGGTAGCCTCTACTGTACTCAGAAAGTTCAACTTGGTGATAAGCGAACGCGAGGTCCAGCTTGGAGAAACATACCGCCCCGGAGAGCTGATGAAGCAGTTCTTCAATGCGAGGAAGTGGAAACCCGTCTACGACAATCGCCTTGTTCGGTTCTCGTAAGTCGACGCATAGTCGAAGGGATCGATCTTTTTTCTTGACGACGACCAGTGGAGAAACCCAGTCGGAAGCAGAGACAGGCTCGATGATTCCGCTGGCTTGAAGTCGAGACAGTTCCACAGAGACTTGCTCACGGAGAAGAAGAGGAATGCAGCGCAGCTTGGCACGCACAGGGCACACACCTGGTCGACGCATCACTTTATGCACAAAACCGCGCACACAACCCAGTTCACGGGTGAACATGTGGTGGAATTCAGAAGGTGCATTGGCCGGAAGATCATTTTGGACGTCGACTTGAGCACACGTCATAGACGCACTGACGATATTGATGGACAAAGCCCTGATGGCATCACGTCCCAAAAGCGAGCTGCCATTGGCAGTTACATAAAAAGTAATGGAAGCAGTGCGACTGCGATAAGAGACCTGAGCTGTAAAATTACCTAATATAGCAATCGTTTCCTTGGAATATGTTTGTAGAACGACACGTGAAGGCAAAAGCCGAATGTTGGAAAAATGACTATGAAAGCCAGTGGCACTGATTAAAGAGACTGACCCAGCAGTGTCCACGAGAAATGACAAGGGAATATGGCCCACTGAAGCTACGATGCTGGGCTCGGACGTAGTGTGGAGGACATCCACATTTAAAACAGTGACCGTATTGGTCTGTGCAGTGCTCAAAGGAGCGGACGAAGAAACTGGTTCAGGAAGATTTGCTGGACGGGAATTGCATGCGGACTGAAAATGTGCGATTTTTCCGCACGCAAGACAAGTGCGGTTTCTCGCGGGACACTGTGCAAAATTGGCTAAATGCCGAGTCGATCCGCAACGAAAGCAATGCGCGGTTGCGCTTGTAGAAGAAAATTGTGAACGCGAGTTAGGAGCTCGATGTTATTCCTGAAAACCAGAATTTGGCGGAATGGG